GCTCAGGCACACTGTGGCGTAGTCCGGCTCGACAGGGCGCGGAGAACGCCAGCCAGTGGATTTGCGGCAAGGCGGGGCGAGGCCGACGGTGGAGGGGGGAAAGCCGGGGCGAGGCCGAGGCCGACGGTGGAGGCCAAGGCGAGGCTAAGGCGAGGACGGCGGTGGAGGGCGGCGCGCACGGGCGGGGCGGCCTCGGCTCGGGCGGGCGAGGGCACGCCGCACCTGGCGGGTTTTCTCGCGCTGGAGGCTTGGATGGCGGGCGCGGCGGCGAGGGCGCGGACTCGACCAGAGCGGCGGCGGGCGGCGGCGCGGGCGGGGCGGGGGCGGTCAGATGCGGGCAAGGCAAGGGTGGCTAGGGCGAGAAAGGAAGAGGAAGAGGCGCGGGTCGGATAGATATTTCCGAGCTCGGCGCTAGAGTGACTGGCGCCGAGCTCCCTGGCAGGCCATCCGCCGTGCCCGGCAGCTCGGCGTCAGAGACGCTGGCGCCTAGCTCGGCGTCAGTCATTCTGGCGCCGAGCTAAGGGTTAATTTCCTGAATTCTTTCCGCCAGAGGTCTATTTGTGATAAACTTTCAAAAAAAAAGAGTCAAATTATAAAAAATTCGGTAGTTTTTTAAGCGTAGTCGTTTCAGTTGTGTGGTGAGTATACAAAGAATTCTTTTATTACATCTCTAGCTGCCTATAGTTGATTAGCTAGTTGCACGCAGACAGAACCGTGCAATTGTATTAGTACGCTCTAGTCCTAAACATTCAGTTATTGTCACGATCGAGGGGTAACATGAAATCTTACCCGTAAGTGATGACCAAGCCATGCGTCGTGTCTGCAATCTGTTGGTGCTCTGCATAGGCATCGGGCGCCGCCGGCCGGCGAAGAGGGAGGTCCAGCAGGTACTTGCTAGCTAGCTACGTGCGACGCTCAAGCTCCTGTTTGTCCTTGGGCCAGAGACATGGTTTGTTTCCACGGAATTCATCACAGCAACGCCATGGATGCCGCTCTATATTGGCCCTCGTCCATTCTCAGCAGAGGCATCGCGTCTCGGAGTCTACGGCACGTGCTTCCTCATGCTGCCAAGACTGTTTCTGTCGTCATGCTAATTAAACGCCATTATATTATTCTCGGGACCAACTTGTCTCTAATAAAACCACTCTACCTCGGAACACGACTGCTTGGAAACCGATTGATGGAGCAAAAATGCTTAGTTCCAGACTATAGCTGGCGTGGCGACTGGATAATTGGGACTGAGAGTTGTCTCCGTTAGATACATGCATGGGATTAGATTTGGCATATATGATTCTAGTGGCAAGCTGTCATCCTCGTAAGGGCCGGGTGGCAGCTATAATACCACCGATTATTGGAAGCAGAGTTCCACGGGGGTCAGAGTCTCTGTCTTTTGGACGTCCGCCTTCTGTGGACGAGCCTCTGTCAGCTTCAGAGCATTGAACAAAAATCAGACTAGAATCGCAGCAGTACTTTTCAGCGAACGAACGATATTTTTGTGTCACAGCAAATCAACCTAAGTCAGATTTCAGCGAAACGAACAGGGCCATATCTCTGTTGTTCTAGTTCAAAAGAAATATCAGCTGCGCTAAAAATCGGATCAAACAACAGGCAAACATTAGCATGGGCAAGAGCTAAGGTTTTAAATCTCCGGCTAAGCCTCTTAGCTATAGCTGGAGATAACTGCAGCTAAGCCATTTAGCTATTTTTTTATAAAAATGAGAAGAAAAAAAACACAGAACCTTGCATAATTTGATAAAATTACTAATTGATTCATTAACAATTTATCGTTGATTCATTACCAATTTATGAGAGTACATCAGAAGCTAAGGTAATACTACCGTATAATAGCAAATTCATCACCATCGGACAAGCAAAAGATGAGATTCTAACATGAGCAAACAAGTAACTTGCCAAATTGTTGCCATAGTGTCTCGGCATTTCAACCGCGAACCCACCGTACCTGCCTCCGCTGCTCGTAGCTTCTCCGCCGCCGATGCTGGTAACCGCTGCCCACCCGCCGCCGCTCGTAGTGACCACTCCAAGCCTCTACTGCAGCCGGCTCCGCCTTGCAGGTGCCGCCGCCGCCGCCGCCACTTGGGGGAAGAGCAGAACGACGCCGCACCACCAGCCACCGCTTGGGGAGAGCCGTGGCGCGCCGCGCCGCACCGCACTGTGCCACCGCTTCGGGAGAGCCGTGCCGCACCGCGCGCCGTCTCCGGTTCGCCGCTGCCTCGGGGATCTGTGTTCTGGGGACTGGACACAGCTGTCGCCGCTTTCTGTGGAGAACTGGGAGAGACGAGCGTGAGAGACCAGAGCAGGCCTCATTCCCTATTTGGGCTGACCGTTTTTTTTTTTGGCCCATCTACGGTTCAGCTGCAGCTTAAAAAAAATGAAGCGCATTTTAGCGGCTATCTCCGGCTAAACAGCTATTAGCGGCTGTGATCTCTTAGCGCGAAAAATTACTTCTCCTAGCAGCTACCAGTGGTAAGCTCTACGCCCAGCGACACTGGCGTTCTGGCGATTACGTCGAGCGATTGGCGGGTGTTAGACATTTACAAGCTCGAAGCAGGCTGGCACAACAAGAAAACGAGGAAGGGAGAGGTAGAGTGGTGCTGCCCACGTTGGGATGCCCAGCGGTGAAGGGCTACTGCTGCTTTGCTTTAGTGCTGTGCGCAGGGCTCAACTTAACCAGCCAACAATACGTGTTCCTTGATCCTTTTCTTTGATTTCATATGTGAACAATTCAACCAGCCTTAATCAAAGTCGTTGTTCCTGATACGTAGTTCTATGATTGTAGTTCAGGTACTCGAGTGAATAAGTGATTGGATTACAAGAAACCTGGGTAGGTTAAGGATAAGAAACCTGACCCCCGAGCGCTCCCCAACGGGCGACTCGGGGGGTCCCTTGCCGGCGCTACCAGACCCCGCCCCTTCCTCTCCTCCGGCCGTCGCCGCCTCTCTCCGGCAAGCGGCGGCCAGCGGCGATGCTAAAAAACAGGCCTCCCACCGCAGACTCACGCCCCCTCCCCTTTCCACCCCCACCACACCTCCTCTTCTCTAGTAACTCCGGCAGTTGGCGTCGTCGTTAGGTCGGATCCAAGCCCTCCATGGCCAGATCTCGCGAGCTCTGCTCCAGATCCGGTGGATGTCGCGGTGCCAGTGGACCTGCCCAGGGCGGATGCGACGGCGGCCCCCTTCTTTCTTCGACGGGTCAGGTCACCGGTGGGGCGGATCCTGGACCTCAGGGTCCGGATCTCGCGCCGGGACTGCCGGTTCCGGCGTCCTTGTCCGCCACCACTCCTCTTGGCTGTGGCCCGGGCACCGCGCCTATGCCCGATGCGGCGTCGGCGTCGGCGGCCGTGGCGCACCACTGGTCCGGCTCCGTCTCCCTTCCAGTCCGGTGTTCTGTGAACGTCATGGACAAGCCTCCAACGTGTGCATCTGGGGGCGGGCTGGCTGGTTTTGCACAGCCCGTGGAGCTCCATGGCGGACGGGGCCGGGGCGCCCGTGGCGCACCATGGCGGCCAGGCCGTGGCCGGCTTCTCCGTCGGCGTGGTGGAGCCCTTGCTTCATCCCCGACCCACGGTGTCGACTACTGTGCTTGGGTGTCTACCCTGCCTGGCTTCTTGCTCTAGGCTGCCGATGGTGGCGCAGTCTGCGTCATTTCCCTTCCTGAAGGCGTTGTCGAAGCCTTCACAATTCGGGTCAACGATGATGGCGTCTACGGATGAAAATCCCCGTGTGCTTCTGTCAACGATGAAAATCCCCGTGTGCTTCTGTCAACGATGATGGCGTCTACGGATGTCAGTTCCCTTCTTGAAAGCATCGTTGGAGCGCTCCTCCTGTCCCATGCCGTGCTTCTGCTCCTTCTGCTTCCCTGCCTAGAGTTGCTCCTTGTTGTGCTATGCCTGATTGTGCTTCATGCTACTCCTCGCTTTGGTTTGTCCAGTAGTTGGTTGGTGTTGCCGCAGTCGATTGCTTCTCTGTAGCGGATGCTTTGCCGCTATCGTTGTCGCTATTCTTGGATGGGTATGCTTTGCCGTCATGTTGCTCGGGCGGTTGCCTTGCCGCTGGTGTCGCTTCAATCTCCCCTCTCAAGCAGATACTTTGCTGCTGTGAGCGTGATGGCCCCCCATCCGCGGATGCTTTGCCGCGTTGATGGTCGTCGTTTCTGGCGGATGCTTTGCCGCCATGCTGCAGTTCTGGCAGATGCTTTGCCGCCGTGGTCTCTTCTCCAGCGGATGCTTTGCCGCTGTTGTCGTGCTGGCGCCCTTGGTGGATGCTTTGCCGCCGAGGTTGAAGCTTGCTTCGTCGTCTCTGCGGTTTCACTCACTACACTACTGACTACCAATGTGTTGTCTTCTTGTATTAGGCTCAGTCGGTTGGGGGTTTTGAGTTGGAGGGTCTCCCCCTCATGTTTTCTTGCTGCTCATTTGTGTCTGTGGGATCGCGTCGGTAATCCAAGGATTACTTGTGAGTCTGTTGTATCATCCTTGTAATATTTGGTTACCTTTCCTCTAAATGAAAACAGGCTGAACACCTGATCGAGAAAAAGATTACAAGATTGAAGTTCATGGACTGTGATAAAACTCTTTCATCCAGTACTATAGTTTCAGAGTTCATATTCAGAATCAGAGGCATACGTGTTATTTTACACTCATGACAGAGAATCTATGGAAAATAATCAGGATTGCCAAACAACTAGAATCAAAGTTCGCAGCTTATTGGAAAAGCCTATTAGAATCGATTCTCAGACAAGCGTATCAAACAGGGCCTTAGACCAAAAACTCTCTCAACTCTATTCATCAAGTGATCGGTGCACAATAGCAACACGGAGCCATATATAAGTATTATATAAATATCTTCTGGAAGAGCCCTAAAGTAATGCATCATATTCATTGGAATCGAAGTAAACTAAACTCATGGATATTAGCTCCAATTTTGTTTAGACAAGTGCACACTCATTACAAATATCACAACATGGGCATGCCAAGAAATTGTCTACCGAGAATGCACAGCCATCAATGATTCTTGTTCCAAACTGTACCATCTAGTAGATTCCCCCATGCTTTGCCCCTCATCAGGCGATGGATAACCTATCATCATCTGACCATTCTCATCAAATTCCTCTGCCAACATATTATTAGCCCCTGCATGATTCTCAGGTGAGAGAAGACCTTCTAGTGCACGGTTCACTTGTCTCATGGTTGGTCGTTCTTCACTCCTTAACCTTATACATGATGATGCAAGTGCGGCCACTGCTTGGACTTCTTGGCCTCCCTCGTCAATAACTTGAGGATCTAGTATTTCGATCAGATTGCCTTCACCATGTAATTTGGAAAAATGTGCAACAAGGCCCTCGCCGTTACATGAAAAATATGAAAATGGTTTCTTCCTTGTCAGCAATTCCACAACAATAACACCAAAGCTGTAGACATCACTTTTGTCAGTGAGGCGGCCTTCATAAAAGTACACAGGGTCCAAGTATCCTATAGTCCCTTGGACAACTGTGGTTATTCCTGTTCTATCCAATGGAATGTACCTTGATGCTCCAAAGTCTGACACCTTTGATGTTAGGGTATCATCAAGAAGTATGTTACTAGATTTGATATCTCTATGGATGATTGGGATTGAAAGTGATGAGTGGAGATAGGCAATGGCACTTGCAATTTCAGATGCGACCCTTAACCTGTTTCTCCATGATAGTGATCTTGGACTCCCAACATGAAGATGGTGACAAAGGGTTCCGTTGGAAATAAACTCATAAACCAACAATGGGACCTCCGTTTCTAGGCAACATCCCAAAATTTTTACTACATTCCTGTGGTTGATCTGCGAGAGAATGGCAACCTCGTTTATGAACTCATCTATTTCTCTTTGGACTGTTATCTTTGACTTCTTGATAGCCACAACATGTAGATCCGACAAAATACCTTTGTAAACAGTACCATGCCCTCCACCACCTAGCTCACGAGCTGGGTCAAAGTTGTTGGTTGCCTTTGCAAGCTCATCCACAGTTATGATCATTCTTTCCGCAATGTCAGTCCTTTGGGATACCAACTGTTGTAATAATTGTCCACGATTCTGCTCAAAATACTTTTGTTTTAACTTCATTGCCCTCCTGTGCTTAAACCTTTGAGTAATAAAGAATGCAATGACAACCAAAATCATAAAGCCTGCGGCGCTACCAACTCCTATACCAATGATTACACCTGAAAGTGTGTAGATGTGTTTATGATTACCTTCTGAGTTAAACGAAATTTAAGAAATATCAATAAAAATAATTAGCTAGATATCGGTCTCATTCTTCCTCAAAGTTGGTAGGGACACCCTGATTTCTCATGCAGAAGCCACCTATATAGTGATTTGTAAGTATTCTTTTTTTTACTAAATCCTATATCATTATGAGAATTGAGAAATGTGTAAATAGCCAATAGGTATATAAAGCAATAACATCTTGGTAAGATATGTGGCTGTTCACAGTTTTTCGTAATTTATGGTCCATATGTGGGTACTAAGTTCACACAATACCGTTACTTTTATTTTTTAAAGCCATTTTTTTGGCATTTTTAGGTGATGTTTGCATATCCATAAATACCAAGATCTGTGACATCTGTCCCCATTTTCTAAAAGAAAATATAAAGAAGTGATAAACAATTTGAAGTATGAGTTCACTCATGCTCATATGATCTGTTTGGAGATGAGATACGATCATTCGTTTTATATGGATCGACATGGTTGTTGCATATTCCCTCCGATACAAGTTAGGTATATTTTGCGGCTGTCTGAAGTTAACAATTTTAACCTATGACGACTACAAATTCTCTTTTTTTACATGTTGGGGTTTAAATGCTTGGAAGTACGATACTAGTAGGCTAAAAAACAATAGTTGACTTTAGACAACCTTAAAATATCACCTATTTTCTAGGGTGTCTCATTAGAGCAAGTATAATAACATGCTGTAAGCTAGTTAAATACTGATGTGGAGGAGAGAGATGAGAAGTGGGTTGTAAGCTTACATGCTGTAAGCTAGTGAAAAGCTAACTTACTATACGGGTAGGCTGAGAGAAGGCTGCTGTATTATTAGCCTTACTCTTAGGATTAAGATGAAGGCTCTATTATTGAGAACCTCCAAGTAATATTTATGAGAATTCCTAGCATTAATCTTTGTCTAGCACACCTCCTGAGACGTTAATAATGTGGTTTCTTTGAGGACGTTCAGTTAGTAACAGTAAGACGGTTGTTGCAAATTCAACGAGAAAAGGAAATCTCGTCTTGCTAAAATGTACCTATGCCTTGATGCGGAGTGCACATGTAGCTTCCGATGACGTTAACGCAGGTACCACTGCACAAGTTTGGGAAAGCACACTCATCGATATCTGTGGGATGAACATAGTAGTAGATATTTTGGTGAGCAATAGTCGACAGCAAAGTACAATTGACAAAGTGAATCATTACAGTTTAAGATAAAAGTAGTGATTATGGAGATGCATGCATGCTGACCTTTACAGCCTCCGTCTACGTAGGGATTGCCCTTAAAACCTGCAAGGCACTCGCAGCGATACCCTAGACCAATGGATGGATACAAGCAAACGCTGTTCTCGGAGAGGCATGCATATGAAGATGCATTCTTCAAGGCTTCCCCGCAAGTTCCGTTACCAACAACCCAATCGAGCACCAAAGGAACTCCACGGTCGCTTCCTGGTCCATACATTTCTCCAAATTTTGCCGAGGTGACATACAAAGGATCAAATTCGAACCAATTTGCGTCGGCGACGAAAGCATAGCTGCACGGGCTGCTAAACTTCTGGGGCGTAGAGATGTGCATACTGTCTGCTGTTACAATAAACGAGGCATTCAAGGTCCTCAGATTACCAGGAGAGGGGATGGAAGTCTGGCAGCAACCTATGCCAGCACACTCTGTAATATTGCCCATGCTATCTTGGTTGCAGAATGATCCGCATGCGCTGGTGTACCCATCCTGGCTACCGATTGCTGCAACGATAGCACACCCGATTGCTGTGAGTTTGTTCTTGTTGGATACTGTGAAAGGGGGGACTGGTACCAAGAGGAGCTCCGACTTGGGGCCATTGCGGCAGCTCCTGGATATGGGACCTTCCACGCGAACTTCGCCTTGGGACACATCGATTTCAAACAGTTTAAAAAGGGAAACCCCGACCCGGAGATATGCCGCTTCTTGCCCTTGTCCATCGACGAGGCATGAAACGTTAAAAGAGGGCTCCCAGGAGCAGGCGGCCCCGATGCCGAAAGGGTAGGGGATGGTGATGTTGCCGCAACTCCTTTGGCAGTCGGAGCTGGCGGCCAAAAATCCATGAACTGGTACACCATGCTCCAAGGACAGGGTGGCCGCAACAACTAGCAGTAATAGTAACGTCTTACCTGCAGTAAAGAATTTTTTTTTTTGCAATGAAAGAAGAATTAGAATTATATTATATGATAGCCTTTGTCAGAAATCGTATAGTTTAACTTAGTACAACTAATTCCAATATATTTAAGTAAAAAGTCTATTTTGGCCCTTCAACTATTAAAACCAAACAAATTGAGTGTGGTTAATGGACGAAGGTTTGATTTAGCGTAGTTAATTGGAGGGGTCCTTAACACGAATCCTAAATCATATTCCTTTAATTTTAAGTAAACGAGCAGAACTGCAATTTATATATATTGAATTGAATAAATAAAAAGGGGAGGCAGGGGGCTCAGAGCTCAAAGTCAACAAACAACACAATAAAACTTGAGGGTTAAGGCTACACTTACGTGGCACACTATTGCCGCTCCAACGGTACCAAGATTACGATCGAGCGTATGGCTTTTATTTGAGGGGCAGATCGAAACTAAACCATCTTTGTTCTTCACTAGCAGATGGAGGGATCAGAGCAGCTAGAAAACTTACCTCCGCATAACGGTGACGCCATGGATGGATCCCGTTGTATGCACGAACGTTGCCTTAATTTGCTGTTGCTGTACCTTCGTCTTTCTTTTTGATGACACGGTATCCGCTTGTGTTTGAGAAGAAAGAGGCCCAGAGCTAGCTCAGATCAGCTTCTAGCAGCTGGGTACTTGAGTCCAGCTGTGGTTTGTTTACTTGTAGGCTAGTCGATTGGTCCCTTCTACCATCGCAGAGCCGCAGCTAGTACTATATATCGTGCTCTGGAGGGGGACAGGAAACTGATGACTTTAAAATCGAGGCATCGTTTTATTATAGGAAGAATTATGTATTTGACACTGAAATAAATCAGTCTTCTATATTTGGAACTAAAAAATTAAACTTTCTTATTTGTCACCAAATTAAAATTTTCTTCCCTAGATAGCACTGCCGTCCATTTAGCCTAGTAACAACGTCAAGTGGCTGGTAAAATAATATGAATATCCTTCTTTGTAGCAGAAATACATGATGTCAAAAAATAATAGACGGACGGTCATCGGAGAAATTGCCCAGGCATTGCATGCGAGACCCGGTAAGGTCATCGGAGAAATTGCCCAGGCAAAGCCCAGGCATTGCCTGCGAGACCCGGTACGGTCATCGGAGAAATTGCCCAGGCATTGCCTGCGAGACCCGGTGACCCTCCGGTCAAAAACCATGCGTCTCCCTGTGACTCTATCAAACCACAGTTTTGTGATTGTGACGACGACAAAGCTGAAAGCTGCTGCTCTCCTACTCACAGTGCAGCAACGTATCATTCACACGTACGCCTACAGGCTATAGCCACTAAAGGCAGTTTGGCCACCAACTTTCACCACTTGAAACGGGCCGGCCCGCTCGGCTGCTGGATTTCCGTTCCCCCAAAACCGTGGCTGCAATGCAAGCTCTCTGATCGCTAATGCTGTGCCGTCGATGCCTGCCTGGACCTGGCTCAACAACTGCAGATCGACGGGCATGCATGCTAAGAGAAAGTAATTGTGTTTGCGGTTGCTCCAAATAATTAATAAGCATATATAATGAAGTCCTGCATTTTGTGTTTCTGAACCCAACCATGAACTCGGTATAGTCTATAGCGTATCATTTTTTTCATAGTTTGGTGCTTTTAAACGGTTACCCAATAGGTGGACGAGTTTACACTTAAGAAGAAAGAGGCGGTCCTAAAACCATGAATAAACACCTAGTGTTCACCCACGGTCCATGATGACTTGGGAGATAATGCGAGCTTTGTTTTGTCCTCGTTTATTTTATTTTATTTATATCTTGCCTCTGCATTTTTAAAATAAACTCAAGAGTTTATCTTTGTTTCATTTGAAGGAATTAACGGTGTCAATTTAAATAAAAAATATTAGTTTTGCCGTGTGAATTTACGCATAGGTTTTCGACTCTTAGGTTTTTACGCAAGAGAGAGAATTTTTACTGCAAAATAATTTGTAAATACATATTATTTATTTTGATCTGTAGAGACATAGATGCTCATAAATACGAGTACGCACTCATCGCTATGAAGGTATGTATGCACATCCTACTGCATGTGTTGCATGTGTACCTCTGAAAAACTGAATTGTATCGATAATTTTAAAACGAAACAAAACTTAATAACAAGTTGCACATGCTTAATCAAGCATCAGCCTACTGTGATTGGATCTGAAAATCACAGGAGACAGCAGAGGATAAGCTATCCGTTCCGTACTACTCGAGTGTGGGCGCGCAAAAGCACGCAACGCAAGCAACAGGCATTGTCGGCGATGTTCGTCAGTTGCTGGGATGGCCTACTTCATCGCCGCCGACAAGAAGATCCTGTCGCTGGCGAGGCGGCACTCGTTCGAGGCCGCACCGGAGCACCTCAAGAACACCTCCTACCAGGGTGCCGGCAGGATGCACCCGGCTTTCTTCAGGCCTTGATCCTTCTCAGCATCTTGATCGAACGATAAAACTGTAGAGAGGAGTGAAGTTGATGCCTCGTCGAATAAACTACTGCTACGAGTAGTCAACAGCAATAAGAACTCAAACGATGCGCTGTTCACAGCCTCAAAAAATTGTAACTAGCTCGTACTCCGATCCATTATATAAGCAGAGTAAAGCGCTGTTTTTTGGGTTCCTCAAACAATGAACTTGTTCGATTGTGGTAAGGGGCCCACACCCCACCCATATATGTGTTTCTTTATTCCTCTCTCTCTTTCTCTCTCTCAGCCTATAACTCTAAAACCTCCCACTCATTGATGACAAAATGTTTCACAATATATATTAGGAAAATATTTCTCTCTTTTAAAAAAAAAGTGTTTTGGAAATAAAAAAAAACCAGTTTTTAGTAGAGTTTCTGAAATACTCCATCTGTCCCTTAATGTGTGTTGCAGTAGAATTTGGCTAAGGAAACAAGGAAGCCTATAAAATAGCCTTTCCTAGTTGCAGATTACTATAGAACGAAGAGGTCAATAATGCTTCAGTTTTTTTGTGAACATTTGCATGGGCTTGTGCGTGGTGGTGTGAGGGGGCGACCAACGTGTGACGTCGTGGGAATTTGAACCTATACCTAGGAACCCGTGTCAATAGGCAGACGATAGACATTAAGGGACAACATTTTAATCCCAGGACGACACACGTTAAGGGACGGAGGGAGTAGACACGAGCTCAGTGCCTAATGCAATTGTCAAAGAATATATTTTGAGCACAAAAAATAGTGTTAGTGGACGAAAGCCAGGCGAGAGTAAATATGAAACTAGAGTTATGGCGGCAGATCCTTGAGTCTAAAGGTTTTAGATTGAGCAGAACTAAAACCGAATACATGAGATGCGACTTTGGCGGAGTTGTACAGGAGGAGGGAGATGTGAGTTTGGAAGGTCAAGTAGTGCCTAAGAAGGATACCTTTCGATATATGAGATCGATGCTACAGAAGGATGAAGATATTGATGCGAACATTAGCCATAGAATCAAAGCATGGTGGATCAAGTGGCGTCAAGCTTCTGACATTCTCTGTGACAAGAGGGTGCCACAAAAGCTAAAAGGCAAGTGCTAGGCCATGTGAAGCCCACACATGACGCTAAATTTACTAGTTGATATGGTACCCTAGTATGAAACGTCGACATGTTGCTTATCTTCTAGATTTATCTCTCGCCCATCTCGCTCCCACAAAAAGGAAATGATAAGACACCAATGCAATCGTACCATACTAAACGTTAGGTCCCATCAGGACACTCTCTCAAAATTGCACCATTCGCTCTCTCTTTTTTTCTCCCCACTTCGCTATTGAATCTTCGGTGATCCGGGACTTTGGTAGAGTTATGGCGATGGGCTTTGTCACCGACTTTGCATCATCGACTACGCCTTTGTCAACATTTGGCAAGGGTCTTTGACTTCAACTTCGACATCATTGGCTACGCCATCGTCAACATTTCGGCAAGGGGCACCATCAACTTTGTCGTAGTCGACACGGTGATCTCCATCTATGACACCAGTGACCTTAATCACGCCTACATCGTCTACCTCAAGCACGCGAAAGAGTTTCTCACAAGCGCCAACCAAGAGGGGCTGGCAAAGAGCAAATTGGACAAGCCGTCTGCCCGAAGACAAAAGCCTTGCTTGGCGCCCATGAGTGAAAGCTTGAAGACATGTCATGATCATCTACGACTACCACGCCTACATCGACTTCTTTGCCTACCTCGACTACATCTATGTCTTCGTGAAGGCTCGGTTATGAAAAGAAGGTATTAAGGGCTCAAGGCCATACGAAGGAGCAAGCTGCCAAAGAAAGAGTCACGAAGGTTCGAGTGAAGGTTAACACTGAAGAGTAGCTAAAGATAAATCATCCATAGAATATCTCTTTATAGACAAGAGCTGTGTGTCGGAACTGAGTTGTAATTGGGCCACAGTTGGTTGTATTCAACTATTGGGTCTTGTAGTTATACTTTCGATCAAAACCGAATAGCTGAGGTGCTACTATTGTGGTGTGTTATATGTTAGGGACCTCATTAGTGTTTTACATGGCCTAGTTACATAGCTCTGGGCTTGTAAGGTAATACTTAGGGCCCATTTGTAGCCCTATTGTAGCCACTATATTTTTTTTGTAAAATACAAGCCCCACTAAGGGAAATAATGAAAACCTCCCCTCCCACCTTCCCATAAAAGGGGAGAGGGGGAGAAGGGGCTGGCTCCCTCATTGATTTGGCTCATTATTGACTTGATCTTCCCTCTTACTCTCGTCTCTCCTCTCTTGCTTGGTGTTGAACACTAATAGAGATGTAAGTAGATAAACTACAGTATGTGATTCCACGATTGGCTAAGCATATGATTACAGTAAACTAAAAGCGGAGTAACCATACCCATTTTGTTGTGGCAACCAGTACCATCATTGATTCACGTTTATCAATAGTGAAACTTTGCAAAAGCTAAAGCCACGCTTTCTTGAGAGCATTTGAGGCATGTAAGTCCTGCAAGGGAAAAACCTTAAGTATTAATTTGGTGACTGTAATTAATCAACTGCCAAAATGAAAGCCATGAAAGAATTGCAAAACATATATTAACCTCAAGTTGAAATCGAGAAACACATTCTTGAAAGATGGCGAGTGAAGGAAGTTGGCAAATGGTTTTCTTTTTTCTTCCAGTAAGCACTTGATTGATATGAACAAATAAAGCATCTAAACTAGTGTAACACAGTCTATCACGGCCTTCGTCATCTCTGGCAAGATACAAAGCCTCACAAGGATTCTCAGAATCTGGAATGAATTGTCATGACATCAGTCGTGCGAGAACAACACCATGCACGGTCTCATCAACAATAATATGATCATAGATATGGTATAGCATTTGAAGCTCTGATGCGCCGACATGAGTCACTCTCAAATGGACACCTCAAAAATCCCAAGGTAAGTGAGCCTGAGACTTGTAATAATAGATTGCCTCACGGATGGTAGTAGACTTTTCCCCATGTCATCCTCATAGAGTTTCAAGAGTCTGTCCACTTCTACTGAAAGAAAATATGCCTTTTGTTCTTCGGTCAGAGCATTGAACCTTTCATGCACCATGATCACCACGACATTGAGTACATCATTAGTTATACTCTATCATCATACTTCCAACCCTTGGTGGATCCCAAGGGGGGTGTCGTGGTCCCTTGGGTCATCAGGTTTATCAATGTGGAATGCCCTACAACATTCCTTCTCAGCGGTATCGAGGTGCCCAAGCACAACCAGTAACTTCGAACAATGCAGACCAACAACCAATGACTTGGGATATGCACTTGATAGCTCATGAAGAGTGCGTAGTGCAGATCGCAAAACAAAATCCTTACTATGGTCATTCAAGTGATTGCCACGAAGAATATCAAGAGCAAGCTGGGCATGCAGGAGCTTTGCCCGGGTAGACTTCAGTTCATCAACTAACATTCCACCAGCCTTAAGAATTGCTACAGCTTGAACCTTGGGGTTGCCAAGCTTCTTTAGCACCTTGGCAAACACCCAATCTTATCTATTGACCTCAATGTATGATAAATCTGACATGATGCACCGCTTCGCATCAGCAATTCGCTGGGTCCTTTGAGCGACCATTCGCCGTGTCAACGACATGGTGGAGTAAGGGTACACACTCAACATCAGGTATGTCTCTTCCTCTCTCCAACTCTTTCTTGGCTTGGTCCCAGAGCTTCAATGCTAAGAGTGCTACCCGTGAGACGCCACATTCTCCACACTGTTGGGGGGCAAGTTATGAGGTGAACTCGTAGTAGATGACTGTGGATCGAATGGATTTCTTAGCCAAATCCGGTGACATCAAACCAATGCCCTGCTGCACCATCAAATAAACAACCAAATTTAACGTTACAATAGAATGACCACCTTCATCTGCTAGTGCGAGGGCTTGAGTGATGGTTTCTGTATGCTATCCTTGCCTAAACCTCTAGAGTAGATCCTTACGTCTGATTCCTCAATGGGCCCATCTTGTCACAAAACATGGCTACCGAAGGTCGGAGCGGGTAGGTAGTAGACGCGGGCGAAGAGCGCTGCCGGATGGGGAGGTGGATAAAAGTGATGGGGCGGTGGCTGATGAAGATCCGCTGATGAAGATCGGGGCATTAAGGCGACGACCGACAAAGACCAGGGCATTGAGGCAGTGGGCGATGATGATTTGTGTGTGTGTGTCTGTGTGTCAGTGTGTGTGGGTGGGGGAGGGGGGCAAGGCGGAGGGCAACAAAGATGGGGGACAAGCCGGCCGATGACTATGCAGGGGGCGACATACGGCATGGTGGATACTGAACTGCGCGGCGCTGGACGTATATGGCAGATGTGTAGTGAATGGCGGCAAATGGGTGTGCGGAGAGGAGAGAATTGGGATTTTAGTACCCAGTATGGTGGGCTTCGCTAAAATGGTACCTCTAACGGGGGCTTTGCTAAAATGGTACTTGAGCATTGACTCCTAGCTACTTTGGTATTTCTTGTATTTTCTTAGCTTTTTCGATATCTTTTGCTATTCTGGCCACATGAAATGACCCAAATACCGTTGTCTCTATCTTCTTTCCCCCCTCTTGTCTTGTCAAGTTGGACCTCCCTCCTGGCTTGCCCTCACTGTCGCTTGGTCTCCCCCACCAACTCCGTTGCTAGACCTCCCGCGAATGAGTTGCCCTGGCGCGCCACCCAACGCCTCCCGCCAATGAGCAGCCCCAATGGGCCCTGCCCGATGGATTCATTCCTCGGCGAGGCGTGTTGGAGCGGCGTGGAGGTGACTCCTCTGCAAGGCTCATCGAGGCAGTGACGGGTGTCACACAACACCGATGACCAGTGGACGTACTAGCACATCGAGCCGGCGTGGAGGCGGCTCCAACGCATGGTTCTTCGTCAGCGGGTGCACCCGCGCCGGCGGCCTGCTATGCCTGCAAGTGGATGTGGCCGACGTCAGTGTGGCGCAACACAGAGGGCAACGTGTCAACGTGCGGCGGCGTTGGTGAATGACGGTGACAGTGCCCCGATGGGGGTTCATGGGCGGGTGGTGGGATCGGAGCTCATGGGGCACTGGATAAGAATGAGAGAGAGAGAGACTGTTTGGCAGAGAGGGATGGAGGCAAAAATCCATTGCAAACTGAATCATGGGAAAAGGGTGAAAATACTAAAATAGCAAGGTGTCAATGCATCGGATACCATTTTAGCGAAGCCCGCGTTTAGAGTACTATTCTAACGAAGCCCACTCTATGGAGTACCAAAAGCCCAGTTGCATGGGGAGTGAGGGTGAGAAGGAGGCTGGAACGAAACCACTAGTGGGCCAACGTTATATTGTGGGTTCTTGAGGCCTAAATAGTGTGTCATTTCGGCCCACGGTGGGGACAAGCTATCGAGTAGTGTTTTGTTGGTAGATAAGGATGAGATGAAAACTCCCCTCAACTATTGAGGTTCGTCTACTTAACCACTTCACCTATAAAACTAAGTATTTAACCCCCCTGAACTATTGGATACTATCTAAATAACTCATTGAGGTGGTTTTGGAGGCGGTTTTGCTGATGTGGCGTGCTACGTAGGTAGTGATGTTGTCAGGAAATAGGGATATACCCCGAGCTCCGTAAATGAACCATCCCACAAGCTCCATATTACAATAAATGACAACGCACATGCTAAATTTGCCATTATCTTTGTTTGAAAACACGTACAATCTTTTAGTATATTTGCCACACATACACAGCTCATTTTTGCCCAGCACAAATCAACTTTATTTAAAAAGCAGCCTCCTGTACAAGGAGTGATAATTCAATGTTGCTCCAAAAACAGATGAGAATATACATGACTGATCTATCTTGCTATTATATAAAGAGTTGATGCTTTATATTGATGGACTACTCTTTCTCAGTAAAAGCGAGTAACAGACATAAGACAGTTTGGAATATACAATGGTTTGATATTGTTGTCTAAAATATGTAGGTTTGGAGAGTAGAAATTCGATGAAATGACAATCCAATTAACTATGAATATTAGTTGTACAAACCTCAGATGGGTTTTGATTGTGCTATAGTATATCCAAATTTAGGTACAACACTGATCTGGACAAGCCATAGAATGATATAGTACTCAAGTACTTCAACATCCTTGGAATGATATTTTGAGGAAATTTTTGAACTCCTGATTATGCTTTTGCTGTGAATATTAACCATGAGAACTTAGCTTAACTTCAAAATCCTCGTATATCAGTAATGGATGATCTCTTAGTTCAACCTTAATTTCATTGTAAATGTAAGCACTTAGTCCAGGGTACTAACTGCACTAAACCTTTTGCTATAAATATTAGTACTATTAATTCTCTTGGTAAAATTTAATGTTTAAATCAAGTACTAAAAGAAGAGTCTCTCCCGTTGGCACTTAAAAAAAGGTTAAGATACAAACGATAGGCTGGCACACTCCAAGAAGAGCGTGGCTAGTCTATAGATGAAAGCTAATCATGGTAAGCCACCGTATACGTATTCTGACACAATGTTGCTACTAGCATGCATGGTCTACTACATATGGTGTTTCTATATCCATTCCTAACATTGGCGCTGTACAGTACATGCTAGGCGACGGTTCAGCTGAAGCCACGTCTGCTGACCTCTTGATAAGGAGTTCAGTTTCGTTATGCTTCAACAACAATAATAGCTTCCTCCAACTGCTCCGAATAGCTTTCAGCTTGTTGGCTACTTGGATCATGGAAGGCCTCTCCTCCCCCTTGTCGCTCAAGCACCATATCCCAAGCTCAGCAACTTCTTGGAGAAGTTCCTCTGTTCCCACACCCATTATACTAGTGTCCAACAAGTCTCCTACTCTATTCTCCTTCATTGCCAGCATGAAGGATGATGCAAGGCTTATTCTTTCCTTATGACCGTCAGAGTATATAGCCATCTTCCCTGTGATCAGCTCTAGAAGCACAACCCCGAAGCTATAAACATTGCTCTTCTCTGTCAGGTGCCGCTCCTTGTGGTACTCTGGATCTAGGTAACCAGGAGTTCCTTGTACAATTGTCATGTGCTGATCTGCATCCTTGGGAAGCATCCTTGACGCTCCGAAGTCGGTCACTTTTGCTGTGTAGTTCTCATCTAGGAGAATGTTTAGAGACTTGACATCACCATGGACTATGGGATGGTCGGTGGAGAGATGGAGATAAACAAGTGCATCAGCAGACTCTTGGGCGATTCTGAGGCGAACTTCGAGTGGCACAGGTGGTCGGTTGTTGTAGCTACTATGGAGTAAATGAAACAGAGTGCCATTTGGGACAAATTCATACACCAGCATGGGCACTTCAACCTCTAAGCAGCAACCTAGAAGCCTTACCACATTCCTGTGATTGATTTGTGAGAGTATGATAATCTCTTGAATGAATTCTTCGGCTTGGGCCATATTGATAATCTTTGAGCGTTTCACAGCCACTACTTTTTCGTCAGTTAGATTGCCCTTATAAACAGTGCCATGGCCCCCTGTGCCAAGTTCTGTGCTCTTGTCAAAATTTTTTGTCGCCTTATCCAAATCTTCCACTGTGAATAATATCACTGTGTCAATTTGTCGAGAGTGGATTTGCTGAAACAATATTGGACCACCATTCTCTTTGAAGTGTCTCTCCTTCTCTTTCACCACCTGCCTTTTTTTACACTCCTTCATGATTACAATGGAGATACAAATGATGATACAAATGGAACATATGGAAATACCTGGAAATGAATGATTATCAGTTCATCATCAGTTCAACTAGCAGCATTACAATTGAGCGTAAGTGATAAAAGACAGCCCCTTTAGGCCTTTAGGGTCTATATGGAAAATCAGAACATGGAAAACATAAAAACCATACGAATGACCTTTTAGATGGGGTATAAAAGCATTAAAATCTTTAAACTAGCAAGTTTTGTACCGAGAAATTGCTTTTGATGGCCAAAACTCTGCAAAAGTTAGTATTCTGTACACACAACACACTCTTCTTGCAAATTAAACATACCTATCACAAACATCACTTCAGTTTTCTGGTTGGCCCCAGGAATTGGGGTGCAAGGTGTGCTCTTTGGATCCTTGCTCTGAGTTCCTGGTCTGCATGAACATTCATAGCTTCCAACAGTGTTAATGCATGTACCTTGGCAATACACGTCTGGATAAGCACACTCGTCGATATCTGTGGTTTAATAAGCAAGTTAAGAGTTAGTCGAACCTTCAATGTGAATGAGTGAATCTAAGGTGTAGTAACATAACATGTAACTTCATAAATAGCAGAGAAAAAAAAAATGTACCTATGCATCCATCGACAATGTAGGGATTGCCCTCGTAGCCTTGGGAACAAACGCAGCGATACCCCAGACCATTGGGCGCGTCAATGCATTCGCTATTCCTGTCGACGCAGGCATATGATGTATGATTGATCGTGCTGTAATTATTGCATGTTCCAGTACCAATAGCCCAATCCAGCACCATAGGATCCCCAGTGCGGTTGAATAAATACATTTCTCTAAAGTTTGTTGCTTTGGCATAGGAGGCACTGAAATTGAACCTGTTTTGCTCGGCGATGAAAGCGTAGCTGCATGGGCTGTATTCCCAGACATGGCTGTAGTTTATATGGTTTACTGCTGCAAATAATGTGTCCAAATACTTGAGGTTGTCAGGGATAGAAGCATGGCAGCAGCCCATGCCAGTGCACTGTGCGCTATTGTCAATGCCGTGCTTGTCGCAGAACGACGCGCAACCACTAAGCTGGTTCTCGTTCTGGCCATACAAGATTGCAACCGTAGCACACCCAATTGCTGTGAGTTTGTTCTTGGTGCTGGAAACAACGAAATAAGGGTTGTCAAATCTGAAGATAGGCTGATGCACTTCTGAGAAGTTGGGGTTGTCGGTGTGGTTGTGGCAGCTACTTGATATGCGATTCTCGACGCGGACTTCGCCCTGGGCCACGTTGATTTCCAACACCCGAAGGCTCTTGTTCTTCCCAAGATACAACGCTTGATATTCCTCATCGCATATGACACTAAAGGCATCCTCCCGGGAGCAGGCACCGTTGATGCCAAAAGGGTAGGGGATGCTTATGTCACCGCATTTGCGTTGGCAGTCAGGCAAGGAGTGCAAGGACAAACCAGCTCCTGCACAATGCCCCAAGGATAGGGAGGCCACCACAACTAGCAGTAATAACTTATTACCTGAGGTAGTGAAACAAGCAAATAAATTAAGATACTTATACATATCAGTGCATCACTGCATCATTGAGCAACTAAGGGCGTGCTTGGATTTTTTTGCTGAACACTGTGTTACCTCGCCGAGCTAGGAACTAGAGTAAGCACGTTTGGATGCCTTGCTAGCTGACATTGATTTCTTAGGTGAACCAAATTGGCTCTCTTGGGCTGGCAAGCGCCTTGTTGCTCGTGCCAATTAAGCTAGGCCAGGAAAGTCCCGCTCAGAACCAAGCACGCCCTAACAGTAGAGATTAGTCTTGTTTGGTTAACAACTATTTCTATCACGAATCCTTTCAGTTTTGCTCTACTTTCTATTTCTAGCAAGAAAAAGGGCCACCTAGCCTTAGGGATTAGGAAAAGCTAGGCATGAAGGTTGTGTATATGACAAGTGGCACAATAGGCTAAACAACAGAAGCAACCAAACAAACCTTAAGAAAATTAATTATGACTGACTAAGCTAAGATGTGACAAATTTAAGAGTTAATCCATGGTAGGTATGAATTCTAGAATAATTAAAACCGGTTATCCTGCCTCTTGATTTTTCTGGTTAACAAATAAATCTTTAGAGACGGGCCCATCTCTAAAACCAGTTTTAAGGCCAGTTCTCGATGAAACTACCCTGAGAAAAAAGGCATCTCTAGAAAATAAGAGACGTCACTAAAAAATCATGTTTTGTAGTAGTGAGGTATACCTAATGGCGGATCTAGAAAAAAATGTGTGTGTGTGGGGGGGGGGGGGGGGGTTCTGAAAAAGTGCGCTAGGTCAACATAAGTCCTTTATGCCCCGTACAAGACAAATATAGTAGTTTAAAGTAGTTCTTTATTGAAACATTGATGAAAAAAAATCAAAATACATTATTAAAAGTAAAGAATGCAATTTATCCATACCCAAAGGGTGAAGTTCTTCCGGGTGCCCAAGATAAATTGACTAGACTTTTGTATGATGTAATTTTCATTGCTAACCCAACTCAGTTCATATATCACATAAGAAAAAGAATAATAGTAACAAGTCAATGTTGTGATTATTTGTTATTGTTTCCCTTGATAATGAAATGACCATAAGAGCCATGTGTATATAATGTTTGGTTAAAGAACACAAGGGTATGGCATGAAGTATTGAAGTTAGGTCTTTTTATCTCTCTGAAAATTTGTACGGAGTAGTTATTTTCATTTTCTCAATTCATAGATGCAATTTACAAGCATATGACAGAAACTGTTAGAGGCCTCCACAAAAATTCAAATCTGACACTATGGCGACATGGAGATCCAGGTATAATAACCATCAGTGCTCGTCTTCACAATCCTTAATCAAATATTGGACCATCAAAATGTGTAAAACTAAAATGAAAAGGGACTATTTTTTTACCTAGCGCTGGATGAAAGTCCTGGATGGCTAGGGCCTGGGGCCTGGGTGCCTGGTTGGCTTGCCGCTAGCAGCTGGCCACCACCGCGGGTCTGGCCACCTCCCGGATGCGCCCAGTGGCCTGGCACTTGGGGTGTCGACGACCTGCCGCCTGCTGCAGTGCCGCTGTGCCATGCTACTGCTGCCCGCCATCGGCCATCGATGGATCCGGACATCCGGTGCTAGCTGCCGTCGCCGCTAGTGCTAGGCGTGGCCGCGTGGGACTCCACTAGTGGTCGGGACTCGGCAGTCGGCGGCTGCGGTGCGGACGGGATTTGCGAGTCGGGAGAGAGAACGCGACGTCAGCGACAACAAATAGAAAGGCCGAGAGAACCGAGCCTAGCTCGTGTGGCGAGGCCCGGTTGTTGGGACCTTGCCGGCCGGAGTTCGAGCCCCGTGGTTGCGAATTTTCGGTCTCTCATTGGAGTTTGCCCCCAATAACTTTCATTGCCTCTCACACGTAGAGCCACATAGGGAATACGACGCGTCTGGTCGTCTACTGAGCCATGGTTGGACCCGGTGATCTCACAAAGGACGTGTTTTTGTGATCTGGGTGTAGTTATAGGTTTGCTTGTGTATGCGTGGTGTGAGTTTGGTGTGCGTGTGTGAGGTTGGTGTGAGTCTGTACATAAACAGATGCTACAGCTGTATCCAGATGAGATGCGTCAAAAAAAAATAGAAAGGCCAAGTACTGGTCCTTTTTTTTGTCTCATCTTTTCATCTCATATATATGGTCATTAGAGTTATATGGTTCTGCTAAAAAAAGAGTTATATGGTGCCGTATCTTTACATCTACTTCTTCGGTCCCTAATTTTTTTTTTGTTTATGTATCATAAGTTTGATTAGATTTTTAAAAAATATGTGCAACATTTGTATCTCCAAATATATTTATTATGAAAATAAATTCAACGATTTATCTAATAATTTTAGTTTTGTACCATAATATATATATATATATATTTTTAAAGTTGTTTCTCGAAAAATGAAAACAACAATTATTTAGAAACCGAGGGATTTGTGTAGTTGCATTTGTAAAGTAGTACGGAGTTCGCGCTAGTTGGAGTAGTATTTACTAAGCAAGCTAAGCGGAGATGTAAGCAGGTTTTCCTGCAAGCCTACAAATATATTTAATTTTTATAGTTGATCGAGAACAAGCCCGTTTGCATCTCTGTTGTGTATGGCTCAATTACTACTAATAGCAAACTGATGAAACAAAGACTACAGATACACACATGCAATTGGTGCAATGGCTCATTTCAGTTGGGAACTTGGGATACAAAGAGCTCGTACTCTGTTGGGTATGGCTCAATTACTACTAATAGTAAACCATTATAATTAAGTTTGACACGGTGGACGGTGTATGGATCTCGGACACACGCCAACAAACAGATCAGTGACTGGTTAGTCGTTGTTGTTCACCAGTTCATGGAAAAGGTAAAAGAAAACAAGCCTTTCCTAATGACGGTGGTTGGTTGCTGTGCCCTCCGTTTTGGGACTGATCAATCGGTGTGGCGCTCCCAGTTTTCAGCTGGGCAGCTGCCTTATGGACCTCATCGCCGCGTCTGTCTGTGGGCTGCCCGGCGCTGCTGACTGCATACGTGCTCCCCACTGAGGGATACCTTATCCCTTGCACACACATGACTATTTTCTGCTGAGGTTTCAGACGATGATCAGAGGTTACAGATTTCACAGGACTGTTTATGATAGTTTTGTAGCTAGAATTTTTTTAATGATGATTTTGTACAGACCATTTTACCGCGTCTCGTTAGTAACAGTAAGATAGTATATCATCATGTTTTCTGCAAAGGCAATATATAAAGCTACTATCGGTAAAGATGATGTTTTTCACAAGAAAATAGCACATAATAAAGTTATTGGGAGGGAAATTAAATTTGCATTCATTCTGAAACTGAGCACCACAAATTAATTACAGCGCTATATACTAGTATATACTACTGGAGTGCTATTACTAGTACATCGATGATTAGTGCGCTACTAGAGTATCGGCAACAGCCTAGCAGTTTATTCAGACATCGACAGCATCTCTGGTGCTTGTACTGACGAAAAGGTAGACGGATGTCTCATGGCCTGAAGAAAGCCGGGTGCAGGTGACCGGTGCCCTGGAAGGAGGTGTTCCTGAGGTGCTCAGGAGCCTCCTCAAACGAGTGCCGCCTCGCTAATGACAATATCTTCTTGTCAGCGGCGATGAAATAGGCCATCCCGGCAACTGTAGAGATGATGAGAGCCTGGCCGGTGGGGTTGATGTTGGCCTTCGCCCATGGCAGCATCCGAACGCTTGCCAGCTGAAACAACAGAGGTTACGAACATGGTGAGGTACATAGGTACAGGCTTATACTGTAACGATTGCATAGGATGGAATGAAACTCACGGTGGGAATCGCGGAGGCGATAGTTGCCACAGCTGCCGCCTTGGCTCCGGCAAGGGTCGCCTCTGCAGACGACATGTGGATACAGAAGCATCAGTCAGATCAGTGTACTACGCTACTACTACTACATATACATAGCGCTTCGAGGCAAGCTTGTTTGAGGCCATCTAATGCAGTATGCACACCAGTACACCTACGTACCTCGCGAGCAGCGCTTGGCGAGGGCAAGCTTCTGGTCAAGGGATGCACGGCTCACCGTCGACATCTCTCGGGTCTATGCAGTTGCAGACTTGGACTTGCAGTAGCAAAGGAAGGCTAGTAAAAAGAAGCAGCAGCTCTAGAAGCTAGCACGCAGTGATCGAGTGGCACGCACTGAAATTGAAAGCACAAGGAGTGAGTTAGGACTGAGGACGAGGACGATGGATGTGTGTTGCCGGACGCAGGGGAGGCCGGGGATTTATAGGCGGCATCAGGGACCCAAACGATCGGCGGGCGGGCGCGCGGGCGCGGACATGGTTTTGGAGCTCATGTGTGTCTATGGTATGGCCGACTGGCCGGTGCAGTGCAGCGGATTGCATGCAGTTTTCAGGATAGATGCCGTTGCCGTCCACCTCCTCGTTCTTGGTACCAGTACCAGGGGACCACGCTTCCCTATCCACTCCTGAGTCCTGGCCTGCAGAGTGCAGACAGACGTCGCTTGACACCATGTGCATGGGACTAACTTCACCGGCCATGGAGGTCGATGATCGATCCTCGTTAAACTAGCTAGCTAGATCAGGCCACCAGGGGTTAGCGTTTAATTAAGCGTAACCACGTGCAGGTGAACGAAGGTTACAGAAACCAAAACACAGGGATTACATTACATATGTATCGTGCTGTGATGTGGGTTACTGCTAGCTTCAGGATCTGTGTGCTACTCGAAAAAGGTTGAAAAGAAAAGAGTAGTAACAAGTTGCCAACCACAACCAGTCCGCTCCTGTGATGAGTTTGACACGCTAATGGGAGCCACGGCACGCGTGACATAGGCCTTTGACACTGCTGCATGCATGCGCAGACCAAAATTCAGTGGTTAGTCCGAACATTTGGCAACCGTGCACGTAGTTTATGTTTTTACTAACAATGCCGTAACTAGGGTGAATCCGATCCGTGACTGTCAAAGTGTAAAGATATATCCCAAGTCCCAAGTCCGAACAAGACAGATCGAGTGACTTTTTTCTGGTGTGGCGGTCTGGTGTGGTGCCCGGCGGTGCGCCGGTGGCTGTGCCCTCAGTTTTCTGGGGTGGCGCTCCCAGTTTTCGGCAGGCAGCGCAGCACAAAAACGCAGACGTGACGCCCGTTGCAGACTCATCGGTCCCACACAAACACGGCCTCATATCCTGTGGGCTCCACGCCTGCAAAGAACGGGAAAAGGTCGATCAGTGAGTGACGTCGCTGCTGGCTGAAGTTCCACTTCCACCGAGAAACCCCTTGTACGTAAACCCTGCGTCTCTGCTAACGCAGGCAGGTCGACGCCGAATCTATGCAAACAATGCAACACTGCAGATCCATTGATTTACTATACTAGCAAATTCGTCTTGAAATTTGACTTGACTACTAGCAAGATCGACCTTGAAACGTTGATTGTATTGCCCTAACTAAGCCATATTAACTTTGTGGTTACGGTATCTCAAGAAGTTCGTCGTCGCTGATGAATAAACAGATGCATGTATATTGTGCTGATGCACCATACGTACGTACGCGCGTTAGTCCACTACACTTTTCTGGGACGCTTTCCAACCTTTTACTCCTAGACTAGAAGACTAGATAGATAGATTACTTTGGTGCTGCTGATACTCCCACCTAACTCCCTCACTCAGGATAATCGGTCCAACCAGGAATATATCACAAAATCCTGTCTCTCTAACCACAGTTTTGTGATTGTGAGACGACGACAAAGCTGCTGCCTCTCCTGCTCCGAGTGCAGCAACGTATCATCCACACGCTTACAGACCCTATTAAAAGGGTGTTTTGGGTTTATGCCGCTAAAGTTTAGCCGGCTAATTTTAATCTCATTTAGTCACTTTTTACCTAAACACTATGACTAAATGGGACAAAATGAACATTTAGCCAATTAGTCACCAAGGGGTTGCTAAATGAAACTAAAGCCCAGGCTACCTCACCTCACTACTACAGGATTGATTTTGCGCGGCGTTGCACTTTAATTAACGGAGGTGGTCACAAAATTCAACCGCCTCGAAAAATGCTGGGCGATTAACGGAGGCGGGCGTTTTTATTTACGGAGGCGGTCACTTTTGCTCGCCTCCAAAAATACATTTACGGAGGCGGGCGTCTTTAGACAACCATCTCCAAAAATAGACTATTTTCGGAGGCGGTCGTCCGTAAATCCATTTTTGGAGGCGGGCACACTATAATGCCCACCTCCTAAAAAGGCCGAGGCCCAGCTGGCCCAGTGAGGCCCGATAGCTCTTCGTATATATACATGAACTTAGAGTATCGGCGGCTTCCTCCTGAGCGGATCCCTCCCTCGTGTAGATGAGCGGAGACTCCTCTCTCTAAGCCGAGCGGCGCCCTCCCTCCCTCCCTCCCTCCCTCCCTCCCCGTGCAGATCTCTCTCCCTCCCTCTCTCTACTCAAATCCGACGGCCTCACTCCCTCCCTGCTCAGATCTGGCGGCCTCCCTCCCTCCCTCTCTCTGCTCAGATCCGGCGACTTCGCTTCCTCCGTCTTCATCGGCGGCTGGCGGGCTCCTCCTCGACGTCGGGCTCGCT